GGTCACGATTTCATAGGGAGTATGGTCGTCAAGGGGAGGGGAGGTCGAGTGGAGCTTCTTCGATGGTAAAGGGAAGCAATCGACGTACATTTAGGGGTTGAAATTAAAGTTTTCAAAGTTTAGGGTTTATTTCAAAATTTATGTTTTTTCTTTTTTTAAATATATAATTTTATTTTTTAAAGTTTTATATAAAATTAATTAAATTACTAGGTGTTGACATGTGTCAATTAACGGGAAAACTAACGGCCTTGACGACCTGAGCACCTAAAAAAGTAACGTTTGTAACGTTAGGTACACATATGACCAAAAATATAGTTGACACTTATTTGGCACAAAAGTGATAGTTTGGGCACTTATTTAGGAATTAAGCCTTCAAAAATTGACCACTTTCCTTAGTCACATCCGTCGATGATACAAAAGGAAGCCACGTGTTAGGATTCTAACAATCATCTTTATGTCTTGATATTTACCCCCTACTTTCATTAATAAACACGAAAGTAACCACACATTAGCCTTTTTGGTGTTTTATCAAATATTAAAGGGTCCGACCAACCAATAGCAACCACCAAATTACGGCACTGCAGTAGAAAAATAAAACATTTATCTAAGAATAATAGAATGATCACATTTATTCTGATTTAAATCTGGCCATGTGTACAGTGGCTTTCTTCCTCCTCTTCTTTTTTTTATATAATTTGTGACAATTTTAATTGATAAATTTAACCTTTTCTTATGTAATTTTGTTTATGGTTGTCGTCCGTCAATTATCATTTTTTTAATTTTTTTAATAAGAATATTTATGTCTTTGTGACATGTTCTCCGTCTTTATGACACTTTTTATATATGTCTTTGTGACACGTTTTTTTCTACCTTTTTGTAGTTTATGATTTTTGACGTTGTTTTCGTTTTTTTTTTCAGATTTGGATTTGACATCGCCATTACTGATCAATATGACACTTATTTATTATAATGATGATCTTCTATGTTTTAGACCCTTATATTGATTTGAGTATGCGTTTTACATTTGTGGATAGTTTTTTCACGTCACTTGACTATGATTTACGATTTATTGGTAGCCTCCAATAGTTTCATCCCTTTTGTGGTTCGTTTACCAATACAGTTAAATTTGTTCGTATTGTTATTTTGTTTGAGCATTGGTTAAATTTTTTTTATATTTTATATTTTGATTCTTATGTGATCTAGGTAACTAGTTTCTATGTCAATAATTATAGAAAAATGTCCTAATTATAATTTTGTTTACTTTTACGTTATATTTATAGATTTTCATTTTGATTTTGGATATTTTCTAGTTTTAATAAAACTAGTGGATTTCTATAATAAAAAATATATAATCATGTGTATGCTTCATTTATATTTATTGTAATTTAGATACAAAGATAATTTTTTATACGAGACATAGGAAGGCTTACTCAAAATTGAATCTGAAATTTAATATTAATTAAGACTAACATAACCTCTTTTGTTAAATATGAATTTCGTTTTAATAATCGAGTTTAATTATAATTATCGAAAAGATAGATAATATATATTAATAATGATTGAATTTTAGGGTTTGTCTTGTTATAATCACCCAAGTATGAAAAATAATTTTACCATTAAACTTTTTGGTTTGCTTTTTTATTCATGTAGACCCTAAATCATTAGGAAAGTGATAACATGCGGTAGCTTTAATATACGGTTAAAAAATGTAATATTAATTTTGTTATTTTTTTAATAAAACCGGTAAAAAGTTATCGGAAACATTATTATTTCTATCAGTTTTGTTATTATTGGACATTTTACCAGAATTGTTAAAAAATATTAATGTTTTAGGTAGAAATAATAATGTTTTAAATAATTTTTTTATCGATTTTGTTAAAAATAATAATAACAAAATCGATAATACCTTTTCTTAACCGTATATTAAAAGTGGTGGTGTAAAATTACCCAAATCATTGATAGTTGGATGGTATGGTATTTTAGAGTTGACGTAGAAACCAACAAAATTGAAAGATTTTCGCTTAGACTCTTATCATTGAAAACCACTATTCTTCAATATTTTTTATAATCACCCTAAACACAAAACAAACTCTTATTATTGTACTTTATCGATTTAAATATTATTAAAAATATTTTAAAACTTATAAAATTAAACATAAAAAATTTATCATCTTTCAAGATTTGAAAGTTTTAATGATTTGATATGCTTGGAGTGTTTGTAAATTCAAACCACGATAAGTATTCTTTTGAAAAAAATAATCTTAAAATTAATTTCATCAAACGATCATTTGAAGATATCAGAGCATCATAATGTTTTATATTTAAATAAATTTTTATTAATTTTTGATGATTCTCAAGAAAAATAAATCTAAAAAAGGATTAGTGTTATAGTCGTATAAAAGGATTATGATGGTCTAACAGTCATTCTAGTCTTATTGACAATATTTCTCAAAATAATTTTGAGAAAAGAAAATTGCTCTAGGTGAACTAAGTAGAATCCGAGACAATTTCGTGGAGGCTATAATCAAACTATTTGTGACTGCTGTGGATTTGCTATTATTCCAGGAACCCAAGGTATATATCTAGTAACTCTTCCTCCCGTATTTGTTTTTTTTTACATAAATCACTGATGAGATCGTTGGATAATTTTTTCGATGCGTCATGGGGTGTACGGTGATCCCAACAATATCATCAACAACAGTCGGCACATACAGCCTCAAGGAATTTAATGTTAAATAGTGAACAACTTAACAATTGAATTCAAATTGAAGGTTATCACACTTATTTTCACTGGGATGATTTTTTGTAATTATCTTATTCTGAATATCATGAGATGACTATCCAGCTCAGTTGGTAGAGCACAAGGTTCTTAACTTTGAGGTCGTGGGATCGAGTCTCACGAAGGGCATTTCATAATTCGGAGGTCTTCTACTGAAGTTGCTCTCAACCTGGTATTGGGAGCAGCCTATTATCTTACCCCCCTTATCCTATTACATATGGGAACAAGGGACATCCATTTTTTTATTATGAATCTCAATCGACGACGACACTTGTGCTTAAATACTGTTATCTTTAATACGGTTTTTTTTGGGGACTCAATGGGTTTGGTTGAATCTAAGGTCGTTGTTGTATCAAGTTGAAAAACAACACTCTTCGTACCCTGAATCATTTGATTTGTTGCTTAGTCACCATCTTCTCCAATCCATCGGTTTCAGGTTGTGCCTTGGACGTCAGTCCTAATTGTGATGATATAACTGTTCGCGGTGAGCGACAGTCTCCTACAAGTTTTTAATGGTCTCTGTGTCGTTCATCATAGCTCAATCTCTCAACGATAGCACCAATGTTATGAGCTCTCACTGATATAAATTGAAATGCTCAAGATATATTTTCATTGAAGAACAAGAGAAATACATCAACAACAGAGAAGAAGGAAGAGGAAATGTGATAGAAGAATATATGAGATAAGAGGATAATTAGAAAAAGAAGAGAGGTTCACAGATTGTCACAATATTCATGTCCTTTCTTCTATTCTTCACTACATTTCATAGCTAGTTATCGTAATCAACAAAGCCTGGGATGTTGACTGATCAATAATTGATGGGTTTACTGAGTTGGTATGGCTTATTGAGTCATAATAATGATCGACTAAAAACAACGGTTGAAGGAGTTAAGGTTATTACCATAGAAATATTGAAGATGATGACCATGCCATCGCCCATCAATGATTTAACAAACACCAAAAATTCAATTCAATAAATTTAGTGGAACAAATGGAATTTTTTATAATTTAGTGATTGAAACGAGACAACATCTAAAGTTTGATGACTAATATTGTAGTTTACCCTACCAAAATTATACGGACCCCAATTAAATAAATGCTTTAAAAGGAAGGTAATATTGTAATTATACCATATTCTGAAGGGCATTTATTAGAGTAACTTTATTCCTAAGGCTCATCCTTTAACACAGGTAGATTTTCAGACAGAATCAGGGGCCCCACTTCATTGTCTGCTATGTTTTATCCAATTAAAACACTGCTTAAATTGCCGTACATTGTCATTAACGCTCAAGTAATTTACTACTAATCTTTTTGGTACAACGCTAATTAGCTTTACAATTTGCCCTTCGGGATTAGGAGACAACTACATGATATGGAGTAATTAATGAGCATTTTCAAGGCATTTAAAATGGTTTAATTGTAATTCTCATCCCTATATTTGTTTAATTTGAAAACATAGTCATTTTATTTTAACTTTTCAAGATCTCATCCTAATAACTGGCGAGAGTTTAGAAGTTGGTCAACTTATTGATAACGCATGATGTACTGATTTTTATTATGTTATCGCATATGAATTATTGACTTTGAAGTGAATAATTTAACATTGTTATTTAATTATTTTAGTTTCTTGATTTTAATAAAGTACGATATTTAAATTTTAATTATATAAAATAAAATATCGACTTTTTAATTTTTATAAAGCAAAGAGATAAATTTCATAATTTCTCTCTCAAAAAAGTAATTATATCCTAATCGTATGGCTAGGGGAAATACTTTTTTTTTTCTTTTGAAATTCTACTTGGCTTAATTCGATTAATTTCTAAATGCTAAAAATTATGATTAATTTAAATTGATTATATTGAAGACATTTACGGTTGGACGAACTTTTTATTTAATTTTTTCCATTTCATAATATTATAATTTAAATTTTAAATTTTGTTTAAAAAAATTAGTATCTTCGTCCTCATTAGATTAGATATAAGAATTGATAGAGTTTGAGTTAATAAAATCATGTTGTAATTAATTTTATTTTTAAATATCAATTAAGAAAATATAATGATATATTTGTAATATTAAAAAATTACTATTAGTGTGTATTGAATTATAATGAATATATTTTAAAAAAATAATACAAAAAAAAACAGAATAAAAGGAGACTGGTTTAGACAAATTTCATGTAACTGTTATTAGAAGAAGTTCATTTGTTTGTGTGGGAGATTTCTTATCCCCATTTCTCTCTAACACTTCCTCAAAACAATAAGCTTTTCCTTCGCTCTTCTTCTCAGCTTTCTCTATAGAATCAAAAATCAAAATTAGATCTTCAAAGAAAAAAAAACATTCTTTTTATTTTTCTCTTCTTTGTACAAGAGAGTGGCCCAGTAGATCGTAATCTTCAGCCCCTTTTCTTCTTCATTATCTAGACGATCTGAGCTCTTTAAATGATGCTAGAAAGCCACCCACTTGTCTGTTTCAGCTGAAAATCATTGCTGCAATTTCTTTTCTGGGTTGTTGTAAAGCTTTTTAACCTGAGAAATCTGGGAGGTTTGAATTATCGTCATGGAGTTTAGCTGATAAATCCATGGGAGAATCTTGGGGGATATGTGATTAAAGGACGTGGGTCTGAGGTAAAATTTCTTTCCTTTTTTTTTTAACTTTCTTGTAATTTCACTCGTAGGTTTCTTTTATTTACCATCTTATGATTTGGTTAATTGTTTTTGGATAAAAAATATATACTCATAATTGTGAGCTATTCTTTTGTTTGTTCTATTTATGGTTTTTGGATTTGGGTTGATTGCAATTCTGACTAGATTGGACGGATGATCATAGCTTTTTGTAATGATATCATCAGCTGTTAATACTTGTTTATATCTCTGAGATCTACTCTGTTAGCTTTGCTTGCTAATTTATCATCTTAATTACCCCTTTCTTCATAAATTTCCATGATTATGGGGTTCACAATTTCCTCCCTCAGCAGCACCTTTTTCTTCAAGATTATGTCTTTATCTGGGGATTTTAAACATGCATGAAAGTGGTTTTGGTGGTTCATTTATGATTTTGTGCCTGCTTTTAGTGTCGTTAGTTATGAATTTATGATCATTTTACTTTGCCATAGATATTTTGTTGCTTTGGCTTGCAACTATTCATGTTTATTCGATTCTGGCTGATGTTTTTTATTTTTCGAATTGTTTTGTCAATTCAGTAACAGTTGATTGGGATGAAACGTGAGTGATAATTGGATTTTACTGATTATGTTATGTTCATGTAAGTTACGAAAAATTCGATCATATGTCTCTAAGATAGTGCATCAACAGTTCTGCATTTCGATGAACCATGAGTGTTAGTTGTAGCTATGATTGTTCATTGTATGTCATATTAATTAGACTTGTTGAACAATTTCAGGAATGGGAACAAAAATTCAGTCGAAAAGCTATTTGCCAGGATTTTATTCAATGAGAGATCTCAACGAGGATTCTAATAGTTGTAGCTGGCCACTTTATTACGGGGATAAGACTTTGACAAATGGTCAGTACTACAATAGTTTTTTCCCGAAGGCTGTGGCAGATTCATATCCTCAACATGATAGGGATCGATTGAAGAGAAAAATGCTCGAACATGAGGCTATATTTCAGAATCAGGTAATAAGGTCTCAGCTGATGGTGTGCCCGTACTTTTTTTTTAGTATTTTTAAAATGGCCATTTTGAAAGAATTTGAGTGTTTGTTTCACTTCGTTTCTTTCGATATTTAAGTATCTGAGTTCTGTATCTTCATCCAGTTGTCTGAGCTTCATCGCCTGTATAGAATACAAAGGGATTTGATGGTTGAAGCAAAAAATAAAGAATTACTGAAAAATCCGATTCCTGTTGAACCATCATCATCATCAAGCTTGTTAGCGTCACAACTTAAAACTGAAGTTACTCACAACTGGCATTTCCCCAACTTCTCTGTGGCAAACTTTGTTTGTGGTAGACCATCGATTTCTGGTGTTGAAGATGCTCATTCTCCCCTTAGTTCCGTGAAGGGAAGCAGCATCCAAGCTGGTCCCTTTTTGTCCCCAAATGGACTTAATTCCAAGGACGTTGAGGTGCTAGACAGCAGGCCGATGAAAGTGAGAAGGAAAATATTTGATCTTCACCTTCCAGCAGATAAGTACATTGATACTGACGAAGCTGAAGAGTTCAGGGATGACACAACATCCAGCATGTCAAGTTATCTTCCAAATGGAAATGGGAAAATTGAGCCTGAGAGCGGTGGGAAGCAAGATGCTCTGAGATCTGATGCATGTTTGAGGGGAAAAAATTGTTTCGCTGACTTGAATGATCCAGTTCAAATCGAAGAAACCAAGTTTCCACATTTTCTAACTTTGTTGTCCATGATACCTCTCATGGAGGCCGTGAATCGTCTGCTAAACCAAAGCCAGAACTTCTTGGCTTGCCAAAAGACATTTCTGTGAATTCTCATCACCAAAGTGATAATCAGTCCCTAAACAATATGCATGTTGGAAATGATGAGAATGCTAGAGGATTATTTTCCCATGTGATTGAAGGTGGTAACACTCACTTGTCAACTACTGAACTTGCATTATATTCCCTTTCTAATTCTTGTATTGTACTCTTTGGCTTTGGCTGGATGGTATTAGTCTGGTTTCTATGCCACGTCTTGTTTGAATGATAATGGACACTCACAATTCCATTTTTATTATATTGGTTTTCAGGGCACAGTAGAAGCAACTCGACTTTTGTTTCACAAAGTTTCCGGCCACAGAAGTTGTCTTTATCGAACCAGCATGCACATGGTCTTTTTGACAAAGATCCATCAACGTTTTCACCAACTGATCAAAGCAAGGCAGGTCTCTCAAGAGAAAGAATGCTTCACAGTTTAGAAGTTCCGGGAAGAAATCATGAAATTTCCAATAACATCAATCCGGATTCAAACATGGGTTTCAATGTTCCTAGTTTTGGTCCATTTGCTTCTTCTGATCCTGTAAATCTATGGTCTCATTCAGTTTCTTCTTCGGAGAAGCCTTCCAGTAGCTTAAACCAGAAGTTCATGTCAGTTCAGCCTTGCACATTTATGTATTCATCTGGTCTTTATAGTAAGAGTGCTGTTATAACACCCCATTGCAATGGGAATTTCGGAGAGAAGTGGCTGGCGAGTAGCAATTCAAGACTTAACCCAGGTTTTGTAAGAGAATTGCCCAATCGAAATGGTTTTTGTTATGGATCCTCACCGGGATCAAAGGATCTTGCAATACACTTCCTTTCAACCAGTTATGATTATGCCAATGGTGCTGCTGCTGGCAAGGGGATCTTTGATCAATTCTCTGCTCATGGTTCGACTAAGCCATACAACTGCTCAAATGATGGTGATATGAAGTCTACAAGTGATGTGAATTTGAATGTGGTGCTTTCAAACAGTTCATCTAACAATTCAGTTTCACTACGAGGTCCTCAAATAGATGGAGGAATAAAGCATGGAAATCATTCACCAGGGCTGCCATGGATAAGGGCCAAGCCTGCTTGTAGAAATGAGGGCATAAGTGCAGGAATGGATCTGAATGTTGGAGAGCTGAGCTTCTCTCAATCTTCTCCACAGCAATCAACCAAAAAAGATGAGATTGGAAATGGTTTCGGTCAAATTTTAACACAGAATTTGAAGTCAGATTCATCCTCCAACAATGCCGATGCTAGCAGGAGTGAAATAAGTGAATGTCTACGTGATAAAAAGATTCTAGGGATTCCCATTTTTGAAAAACCTTATGTTCCGAAAAACGAGTCTTCTTTTACCTCCCCGTATGTATCTGTTCCTCGGCCATCTGAAGGTGAAGGGAAATATAAGCGGAAAAATAGGTTATTTGATATTAATTTGCCTTGTGATGTGACTGTCGATGCAAGCCAAGACATTGTTGTAGAGAATTCAGCCATGGAGAAGGAAGTAGATAAAAAGTTATCACGTTTCAGAAATCATATTGACTTGAATTCGTGTGCCGATGAGGATGAAACTTCTTTTATACCGAATGTTCCGAGCACCGGTATGAAGATGACTGGAGGAATAATAGATTTGGAAGCTCCACTCGTTCCCGAACCTGAGGATGCTATTCATGTAGAAGAATTATCAGCAAAGGAAGATGTAACTTTGGAATCAGCAGCACAAAGCCAAGATGAGTGCATGCAGCATGAACTTATGAAGATTGCAGCTGAGGCAATAGTTTCCATCTCATCATCCATTCAGCACATTCATTTGGAAGATGTCAGTAGCAGTTCATCTGAAACTTCTTCGACAGACCCCCTAAATTGGTTTGTTGAGACAGTTTCCTCTTTTTGCGAGGATCTTGAGAGCAAGCTCGAGGCTCTTTCGAGAGATAAAGATGAGGGTGGAGAGGAATCTTCCTTAGAAGAGATCGATTACTTTGAATCAATGATTTTGAACCTAGCAGAGACTAAGGAAGAGGATTATATGCCCAAACCTCTGGTTCCTGAAAACTTTAAAGTGGAAGAAACAGGAACTAGCTCATTGTTAACAACACGAACACGAAAGGGCCTGGGAAGGCGAGGAAGGCAACGGAGGGATTTCCAAAGGGACATCCTTCCAGGCCTCGTTTACCTATCGAGGCACGAGGTGACACAAGATATTCAGACTTTTGGAGGGCTTATGAGAGCAACAGGCCATTCGTGGCAGTCGGGATTGACAAGAAATTCTAACAGAGGCGGTTGTGGCAGAGGCAGACGACGTTCAGTAACTAGCTCTCCTCCTGCTGCCACAAGTTGCACACCATTGGTGCAGCAGCTTAATAATATCAAACTGGGGCTGGAGGACCGAAGCCTTACCGGATGGGGAAAGACAACTAGACGGCCTCGGAGGCAAAGATGTCCCTAGTACCATCTCTTGCGTTAACCTAATCAAGTATACTACAGAGGGAACTAGGTCATTGTTTCGAATCACACTTGGGAAGAGCTTATCATGGTCCCTGGATAGCCTTTTGTACACACAGCAGCCTGAAATCCGGCTATACTTAATCGTACGTCTTCGAGTGGTTACGAACATCTTACATTGTCTATAAATAAAGTTGCATGATTTCTTCCAACGGTATGATATATGACACCATTCCTTCAGTTTGTGAATAACCAACCATAAGAGCTATTTTTATTGTTTTTGAGCTGATTCTGGCAATGCATGTCTACGCAGTAGTACGATTCCTCGATCGTTCGATCAATATTTTATTAAATTTTCAGTAACATGATATATTTAATAACGTAACGGATAGAGAATTCATAAAGTGTCCTTAATAATTAAAAAGATTATCTTACAACCCCTTTAAATTATTTTTGGTTATTTCTTTTTAAAAAATATTTCTATTTTTCATACAGTATAAAAAAAAAGAGGGAAAGAGAGTGGGGAAGACGAGGAGAGAGGGCGCGTGGAAAGGGAATGAGGAAGATATAAGTTCTGTAAGCTATCGTTGTCTGAAAAATGTGGGTGTACAATCTTTGTGGTCTGTCAAAGTCTTATATCCCCTTCTAGATTCTCTCTTACCCAATCACCTTTCATTATTTTTATTGTTTTTATATTTTTATTATATGACCCCAATACTCCAAAAAAAATTTATTGAATTAATTTTTTTTATCTTATTTTTTAAGATAAATCTTCACCTCTTTCCTATACGTAAATAAGGAGTATATAATTACCTGAAAGTTATCTTAAATTTAATGAATGTGATTAACTAAGATTATGAGTGATGTGGTAAACCAGGTCGGTGAAATAATTTGTCCAATTCTCCCCTCTTTTCCCTTATATTTGGGGTTTTCTTTTTTATAGTTGATTTTTTTCCCTCACGTAATGAATTTTTTTCATTACAAGAGAATTTTATTAAAATCGTCAATATATCAAAATAAATTTGACAATCATTAAATATCTTTTTTTTGTTTCAAAATAAATTTGAAAATTATTAAATATATGAGAACTCCATTTTCTATTTTTATAAGGATAATGATTCACTAATTTAACTTGATGTCGGCTTGAACTTTGAGTCCTAACATACTCATTTATAGAGATGGTTAGGTAATTTTAACCTTACAAAGTTTTTTGAGTTGATTAAAACCATTTCGTTTGAGCTGGCTTCAATGAATTCGTTTTTTCAAAACAAAGTTGATGATTAAAATTCTAATATTATGAACAATAAAATAGATAGTAAAATTGCTCTTATAAGGAATTTCAACGATATTCAATTTGGATTAATTTAGGGGTTAAACATTTTTTTTAATAATTTAATCAAATAAATTTATATGAAATAGTTGTTAGCGTAGTAATTTTGTTGAGAAAGCAAATGATTTAGTTTGAAATGAAAAAACTGCTTAAAGACCAATTTAAAATTTGATCCATAGTTTGGGGACATATAGTGCAATTAACCCAGTAAATTTCTTAAAACTTTTAGTACAAAAGGATTTTATATTTTTCGGTAGGAATTGAGTAAAAAAAAAACTCTTTTAAGAGATATTTTACATACGGATCAGAAAGAACCTCCACCTTCATCGTCTTCAGGATCAAGCGAGATTTCGTGGCAGGGCTTGTTGTACTTCTCGCGAAGCTGCTTGATAGGGATGAAATCTCCGGCTGCATCCATCCCGTAAAATAGGAAAGAACCTCTTTTCTCTTCTTGCTGCTTAAGTATTTCTGCTTCAACCTTCAAAGCAGAACACGTATTAATAAACACGCTACATACACATTCCCAACTCCATTTATCACCAAAAGAGTCGGATTGCAACCGAATACATAAGATTCATGACAGTAGTACAGAACATATAAAGCAGTAAAGAACTGATACATGAAAAGGTAAAATGAAAAGTAAATGATTCTACCACAGCTAATCATTCCATTAACAATTGACAGCCATGGGGATGAAAGATGTCAGTTCTAACCTCATTAAGTTCGTTTCTAAGCTGCTGTGCAATTTCATATTCCTACAAGTTCAAAGCACGCTGCAAATTCACAAACACACAACACCAATGACCAAATCCTATGAACCGAGAGACAAACACAGAAGCTTGTCTTGGTAAGAAAAGATAAAAATTCTTATCGTAGATGAAAAAAGAAGCTCTAATCGAACCTGAACTTGAGTGGCCAAGTCTAATTGGAAAAAGAAAATCAATATATCTTCATTAGCAGCCTCACTTCGCTCTGAGCTTGCACCCAATTCTTGGTCACCTCCTTTAAATGGCCATACAGCTTTAACCCCAAAGCCCCTGTTCTTCAACAATTTGGGGTTGCCTTTGAAGTAAAAACTCGGCGCATACACATGGCAGACAAATTGTTTACCAATCCCAGATTTCATGCGCGCTTTTCCAATTATCTCAAAATGACGCCTCCCAACTACTTCTGTTCCACAAACAGATGTGTTTCCTGAGTTTGTTAAGCTACTTCTTATTGAAAGGGCCTGCGCCATTTTTTCCTCAGAAAGGGAGGAATTTTTCCTCTTTTTTGAGTGGAATCACTGAAAAATGAAATTCTGGGTATTTAATTTCGTCCTCACAATATTAAAATTATTTAAAAACTACATTAGGTGCAGGCTTTCAAGAGATCAGGCGGAAAGAGATGAAGGGAGGGGAGGAGAAACTGAAAATCAATATGTAATCTGGATTAGGGGGTTGTGTGTCAATGAACAAAGTGTTGACACGTGGAGATTGTTTTAGGCCCGATAGATTCGTAACCAACATGGATCATTTCCTGGGCAAAATTGCCCCATTAGGCAAGGCGGAATTATAAATTGGCCCATTAGGCTACTCAAGTTTTTATTTTAATATATGCGACCAATGCAATAATATAGGGTAAACTCGTCTTGTCGACGTGATGAGTTTATTCAAATAATATTTTTAAATCGAATTAGATAAATAGGACCTGTAGGATCTAATATTTTAATATATTTTTAAGAATTTGTCACGTCGATGTGATAATTCCATATAAAATATTTTTTTTAAAAATAAACAATTTTTTTAAATTTAAAATAATTAAAAAATAGCGGGACTCATCATGTCGACGTGAAGACTTTCATTGGAAGAAATTGTCACATTGATGTGATGATTCTATATAAAATATATATTTTAAAAATTAAGCAATTATTTTTAATTTAAAATAATTAAAAATAGCGGGACTCATCATGTCGACATGATGAGTTCCATAGAATTTTGTTTAAAATAATTTCATTACAAACTAATTTATTACAAATTAATAATAAAAGTTTTTTAAACTAATAAAATCACTAAAAATAAAAAAAATTACTTTTGTTTTCTTAATTCTTGACGATGTCGATGAGTGAAATAATAATGGCGTCGGGCTTCTCGATTTGTTTATGTTGTCTGCCTTGATCATATTCATTTGCTTCTTCTTCAACATGACGTGTACTGAACATCACTCTTCTTTGATTTTCACCTTAGAAATATGATGATAGAGTATTTAAGGTATTTGACTCCATCATTAACATCATTGATTTGAATTGCCCACCAAAATCAGTACCTCGTTGGCCATATAGAATATGATCTCATTCACCCACAAGTTCTGTCGAAGATGACTGAGCGCCTTGCATTGCATCCCATGAACCTTTAACCCAAATTGGTTGGCTGTCCATTAAAGCATGATATGGAGTTTAAAACCATAACTGATTTGAGATGCAGAATATTCTGCAAAAGCATAACCATAAGAAGAATATGCTATTGCTGATGTTTCTTGCCTTTTTCAATATTTGGCCTTCATTTTTTGTCATTCGACTCTATCTCCTGGTATTGTTAAATATTATTTCACATTTACTTTATAATTTCGAAGATAGGGATAATTCGAAATCGAGATCAACAACTATAATCTCAAAACGCATAGACATGGATAAATGTCGCTCATTCTATTGTTGAATGTATATTAAATACTTCCCCGGTCAATTCTTTCTATGTTTCCCACGTGTATCAATTCTATGGAGCTCGTCCATCTCAAATTTACGAGCTTTTCGAGTCGAGTATCAACTAGCTCATTTCAGTCGTTAAGAACTCGAGTCGAGCTCAAGTTCGAGTCGAGTACATTCAATCTGAGTATTTATCGAGCCATGACCAAGTCGATCTCGAGTAGCTCGCGATCTGTCTCGTCTCATTTACAGTCTTAGTCATATCAGCCGTAGAGGCAGAACTCAACAGAGATACCTGAGTTATGGTCCCTAAAAATTTGAAAATTTTAGTTTAGATTCTCAAAATCTTTTAAAAAGTTAATTTTGTCTCATAAATTTTTTGAAAATTTGGATTAAGTTTTAATTTTTTTAATGTTTTTAATTAGATTCATGCCTTAATTTTTAAAAGGTATATAATAACCTCTAGTTATCAAAATGATCATTTTGACTCTTTTTTTGTTTTTGCATTTTTGCCCCCAACGTTTTACTTTAGAGGGAAAACTCCTTTATAAATGAAAATTATTAGTTAATACACGATTAACGCTTCAAAATGGAACATTTTAACCTAAAATGAAACGTTGAGGGCTAAAATGCCCAAAAAAGTATAATTGACAAAGTAATTATTCTGTCAAATATTAAATTTTGTACCCTAAAATAAAACGTTGAAAGTTAAGGTACTCTAAAAGGTAGAATAGAGAGCAAACTAGTCATTTTAGTAAATGTTGATAACTAATTTGATATTATGTCTTTTAAAAAAACTTATTAAGCCTCTTAAATTTTCAAAAATTTAATTAGACCTAATTTTTTTTAAGAGAATCCAAATTAAATCCTTTATTATTTTTCTAAAAATAATTAAATCTCTAATTTTTTAAAAGTTTAAGTTAATCCTATCTCCAATATTATAGAACTATATTAAAATAACATAATTTTCAATTCACCAATTTTAATGGTTCAACTCTATGCAAGTTAGGTTGAAGTTATTGCTCATTCCCGTGAACTTTCACGTCCATTCACGTAACACACGCATTTCAAAGTTGCGTGACATTCACAATATCCCTGCTGCAAACATTTAGTGGCGGATGTAAAAAGCTTTTTTTTAGAGAAGGGTCGTAATAGAAAATTACACGTAATAGAAAAGACTAAGCATACAATAACACAAAACACGGACGAAAGAGAAATCACAACAGATCAATGGAGTGTTCACGAAATTCACTTGTTTAGTTCTTGTTCAAGCTATAAAGAAACTTGTTCATCACATCATCGCACCTTCCACCAGCCTCGGTTGTTTTCTTGGCCACTTCTCCGATTCTTTCAGCTTTGATTCTAACCGTTTGATTTTCCATCACCTCCTTGATTTTGTTCCCAATCTCCTCCCCTTTCACCAAATGGTTATTGATTCCCCATCCCCAGTTCTTCATGCAAACCCCCCACCCAGCTGCCTCCGTAACCTCCCCAGCGATCATTTGGTCTCCAGCATGTGGCCATCCGAGGATCGGGATCCCATGCCAAGATGTTTCCACCACCGAGTTCCATCCACAATGGCTTAGGAACAAACCCACCGCTTTGTGACACAGTATCCGCCATTGATCCACCCACTCTTTCACAACAAACGCATCGTTGTTCTTCACTTTGTTCATCACTTGGTGTCCTACAACCTCATCTAAGTCGTCTCTTTTTTCTTCTTTGTCAACAACTTTAGTCCTCACCACCCACAAAAACTTGTATCCACTTATTACTAGTCCACTGCCTAGCTCCCTTATTTGCTCTTTGGACATTGATGACCTACTGCCGAAGCAGACGAAAACCACTGAACTTTCCTTCTGGTTGTCCAGCCACTTCATGAATGGTGAAGACGAAGACGAAGATCCCCCCTCGAATGGCAATGGCAGAAACGGTCCAAGGGGGAAAGCTGGCGGCAGCCCGTCTGTTAACTCTGCAGCAGCAAGCATCTCAAAGCATTCCTTTTCGAGCCCTTCGAATGAATTGATCAGAACGCCATCGAAACGCTTGATGCTCTTGCTGGCGTCTGAGAAGTTCTTTGCGAAGTAGCTGCTCGAGTCCAGAACCTGCGGAGGAATCGATGTCTTCGGGATCGATGAAGGGATAGAAGGAAAAGAAGAGACAAGTGAAAACATCCGAGCCGACGAAATGGAGAGAATATAGTTAGGTAGACGGAGATTTTCAGTGATTTCGATCACAGACGACAGCAATGTTATATCGGTGACGACGAACGAGAGTGGAGGATACAATGAAGAGAGGATGGGAGAAAACAGGTGAGCAGAGTGGCAAATGGTGGCCCATTGGATTGAAAAAGGGTCGGTGGTATTAACAGTGGTGGGATCGATGGGGATGAGAGTGATCTTCTTCTCGTTAACCTGAGGAAATGCAGAGAGGAAATTGGAGACAAGCTGAGATTCAGCAGAAGAGACAATAGGGTGAGAAGTGATTAAAGTGACTGAACATTGGTGGCGGATAAGAGAGGCAGCAAGTCTAAGCATTGGTTGAAGATGACCCATGCCGGAGCTTGGGAGCAAAGCAACATGAAGAGACATTATTAGCTAAAAAGGCTTGAATTTGACCAAGCTGAATGCTTGCCTTTCTGATGCTGTGGAGTTTGGTTTATCGGGGGAGGACTACTTAAGCTCCTTGGGCATCGGGTAGTTCCCCCCCCCCCCCCTCGAGGTTTCGATATGATACATGGACCTGGATTACACATCTAATTTCGCTCTTGTTCATCTAAATTGAATTCGGATTACACATTTAATTTTAATAATTAATTTTTTTAACAAAAATTTTATATATATATTAAAAAATTAAACCTAAAATATTATTTAAACAATCATTTAAATCAAATTAGGTTGATAGCATCTGATACTTTTCAACTTAACTGTACACAAATTCACAGGAAATGTCGGGAAAAACAAACACTTGTCTGCCCATTGGATTCCAAAACATTCAATGTAATTAAGGTGATTTGAATTATGGTTGTTAAAAGTAGGTTTAACATCTAATCATTAGATTTATTAAGTTACATGTACGTTTAATTTAATTTATTTAATAATATAATCTTATAATATTTGTTAAATAACAATTGCGTTTATAATAAAATTGTATTATTTTATATATTAATTTTATAAGTATTTAAAAAATTATATTATATTTTTTTATGATGTTACTTGAAAAGATTTTTCTATAAGAATTTTCTCTTCTATTCATAAACTTAAGATGTTTGAACGGTTAATTCGGTTAAACGATCGAACTGAATTAATCAAATTTCATTAACTATTTTTTTTCTTTAACTGTTAATCGAACCGAATTTTTTCAAATGAATTTAACTAAACCGAACTAAGTTCAATTAATTGATCTATTAACCGAATTTATAAATAATATATAATATATATTATATATTTAATAATTTTATTTATTCATTTAGTTTGGTCATTTAATTTGGTTAAAACAGAAGTTTAAACTCTCCTAAATCTAAATAATATATATAATATATTAAATATTTAATAATTTCGGTTGATTAATTTATTTTAAATTGAATTAACCGAAACCAAAGTTTGAAAAGACATTAACCGTTAACCGACCTAAATTTCAGTTTAATCTATTAATTGTATTTTAACCGAATTATGAACACCTTACACAAACTACAAAATACAATTCTACAGAAGTGGAAAAATTTGACATTCATTCAATGAATTTCAATTGAATGTAATTTCATTTTTTTATTTATTATTCGTGGAATTTTCTTTAAAAATAAAATTTTAATTATTTGTTCTATATTTATATATCGAGTATTCAAGAAATTGAAGATCATTTTAGTTTAAAATGTGAGTTATTTGTTTATTTTAAAATGTGAGCTATTTGTTTATTACAACATACATTTTCCATTATGTCTGCTTTTGAATTGCTGGATTTCTTTGTTTTCGTTTTATTTATTGAATTATACTAAATTACAAGGTATATCAACTATTAAATTAATATTTGTTTTCATTCTATTAATATTTTTTCATTCTATTTGTGATCAAGATTGAGATCTGATTTGATTTTTTTCCCTTTTTAGTTTAAAGATTTTAATGAAAATTTTAAAATTTTAAATGAATTTTGAGATTTGTAGGATTTTTTATTAAGCTAAGGTCGTTACAAAGTAGTATTTATTCTATATACTCTCTTAAACATTTGACAATGAATACTCAATCACCCTACTGCAGCTGTTGTTACTCGAACTCGTGCCTTCTAGAAACAACAACGATTCCTTTAACTACTGAGGTAAGTTATATCATGCTTAGATTTGTAGGATTCTAAGTTTAGTTTGTATTTTAAATAAAATCAATATATTAAATAATACATTTTTTTATAAAAATAAATTATGAATAAAATTTACAATGTTATATCATTAAATAAATTAAGTTAATCACAACCTCAAATTAACATATATATTATTTTGGCTAAAATCATAACAAGGTCCTAAATTGATCTTAAGCACTATACCCACATTATTTTATTCATTAGTTAGAAAAATATATCCATATGCTATTATTTGGAAAAATACCCCTTAACTGTCCACGTAGATTTACCTCACTTTTTGCAAATTACGATTAAAAGATCTCGCTTTCTACAAAACACGAGATCCAATATTAAATTTAGGAAAAAGACCTCGTGTTATGCAAAACGTGAGGTCAATGAAAAATTAAATTTATCGGCTATATCAAAACAAACTAACTTTATGCAAAAAGTGAGTTCTGTTGACATTGCAACACATCTAAAAAAATACGCTTTAATCAAATTTGACAAAAATAATACTATAAGGACTAAAGATGTAATTTAATACATTTTAGCTTCATGAAATAAAAATCATAATGATGGTAGTTTATATAGACATAGTAGAGTGGTTAGGCTATTTTTAATGTGAGATAAAAGCTAATACGAGTTCTTCTACCTTTTTCTTATGTATTTTTTTATTTTTTACTTTTACTTAACCCACATATGAACTAAAATTAAATATTTTGATAAATTTATTCTTGTTAAAAGTTAATTTTATTAATATTAAATATGCAATAAAATTTCATGATAGAATTTATCAAAATTTATGTTAATAAAAATTTTGGCATATTTTGGTAAATTCTTTCATGGATTTTTCTCAAATATTTGATGTTAATAAAAATTAAATTTTAATAAAAATAAATCTATAAAAATATTTAATTTTATTATTATATATATATATATATTAATAAAAATAAATTTATCAAAATATTTAATTTTAATTCATATATAATTTAACAATAAAATTTAATGGATTAATTAAAAGTAAAAAAAATTAAAAATTACATGAGAGAAAGGTAGAAGAACTCATGTTAGCTTTATTCTCACATTACTAAACACTCCACTATGTCTATATAAATTCACACTGATAGGCCTTTCAACTCATAGAGCTAAAGTGTATTAATTTACATATATAGTCCCTATAGTATTATTTAGGCCTATAAGCGAACTGAACGTTCAACGAATCGTCTGTGAACCCCTCTGGCGGGAAGTTTGTTTATGTTCGTTTATTTATTAAACGAACAAATATGAACAAGTTTTTATGTTCGTTTAATTAAATGAACAAATACGAACAAATGGCTCATTCGTTCATTTACGTTCGTGAATGTTTGATAATTCATTTGTTTATATTTGTTCATTTATGTCCATATATGTTCACTTGTTTATGTTCGTTTATGTTCTTCAGATCTATTTGAAATATAAAGACTTAATAAATTTTGACATTATACTCATTTTCAACTCAATTAATTTAAAACCCATATAAAAAATACTCAAATTAATTAAAGAAAATATAAATACAAAAAAATTCTCAAATATAAACCCAATTAATTTTATGTTTATTAAAAGATGGGTGGAAATTAAAACTGTTTTTCTCTGGGTGCACGTTAGCAGGGCTAACGAGATCTGAGTTTTTCCGGCGCGTCTTTGATGGTTCTTTGAGGATTCTTGATTAGATTCTCTCGTCTTGATCTCTTTTCTGGTTTTTGTTTGCTATGAATGTTGGTTTGATGGATTGGAGGAAGCTCTTTGGAAGTGCTTCTGAACAAACGTTGGAGTATTTTCCTCCAGTAATTCGCGAAGGATCTCCGGTTCCTTCTGTTCAACCGCATCAGGAGGTTTTTGAAGCTGGCATTTCTGAATGGAAATTATCCTTGGTAGGGCAATTTCTTGGGCCTTCACCGCCGTTAGTTTCCTTGAAACGAATCGTTGATACCTTGTGGAAGTCGACGCTTATGGGTTCGGGGGTTAAGGTTAGTGTTGCTGGTAGTAATTTGTTTGTTTTCTCATTTAGCTTTGAATCTGCTTGTAATTGGGTTCTGGAAAACGGGCCATGGCATGTTCAGAACAAGCCATTGATTTTGCGTAGATGGGAAATGAATATGAAGCGCTTAGATTTTGATTTGTCTCGTATTCCTGTTTGGATTCAGCTCTACAATGCACCTTTGGAGCTTTATTCTCGTGTTGGGCTAAGCTATGTTGCAAGTGCTTTAGGCACCCCACTGTCTATGGACTCTGTGACTGCTTCAAAGTCTAGGTTGGAGTATGCTAAGGTCTGCGTTGAAATTGGGGTAAGGGATTCGATTCCTAAGTATATTGATGTTGTGTTGCAAGATGGGCTTGCCATTTCGATTCGTGTTGTGGTCCCTTGGATTCCCCCTTGTTGCCTCAAGTGCAATGCCTTTGGGCATAGTGAGAAAGTTTGTGCTGAGTAGTCTAAGTCTCAACCTCATATGGTTCAGGTCTGAAGGAAGAAAGATGAGGATAAAAGATTTGAGGTAGTTGTTGTTGGTAAAATTGAGGCTCTATAGGAGCCTGTCCATCCTGTCAGGGAAGATCTGGATAAATGGGTGAATCCTCAAGTTGAGGAACTGGTTGAGGACATGGTTGCTGAGGTTAAGACCATTAGTGCTATTGATTTACCTGATGGGTCTGCTCCTTTGCCTTTAGTAGTGGATTTGCCTGTTCTACAAGTCTCTTCCCAGAAGAAGAAGGCTAAGGGGAGAGATAAAGATAAGAAGCAACTTGTGGGTTCCTCCAATCGTTTTGAGGTCCTAGTAGTAGCTGCTGGTATGGAATATGTTAGGAAGCCTCGAGTTGCTTCTATGGGTGTTGCTTCCCTTTTGAATGAAATGAAAAATAAAAAGAAAGAGCATATGGGACCTGTTGTTGGAGCCGTTGGGGGGGAGTTTTTACCTGCTCAATGATTGCATGTTTTTGGAATGTCAGGGGGTTCAATAGCCCTCTGAAACAAGTGCAGGTGTTCTCGAGGCTTGTCAAGCTGAATGTGGATGTTATTTGCCTTATGGAGACTAGGGTGAGGACTGCCAATATTAATAGAGTTATTGATTGTTATTCCTTGGACTGTGATAGCTATTCTAATCTTGAGTCCTCGAAAAATGGTAGATTGTGGATTTTTTAGAGGAAATGTCTCAAATTTTATCTTTTAAAAGCCTTTGACCAATCATTGTCTTTAGTTGGTGAGGTTGGTGGCCGCAGTTATGTCATTACAGCTGTCTACGCTAGTAATAATGGGGCTGAAAGGTTGCATCTCTAGGGACAGTTAGAAGAGGTGAAATGTATGGTGGGCGAGTCCCCTTGGCTTATTGGGGTGACTTCAACATCTTTGCAAATGCTTATGA